CATATTAATATGTACGCACGTATCATTTCGCTGCAAGATATTAATTGTTTTAAGGGATTTCAACTGTAAAACAATCATTAACAGATAACAATCTATTTTTTTTTTCTCGTGGCGAGAAATTTGTAAGATCTGATTTAAATGGTGATTTGAGTTATGTCAAGATTACAAGATAAAACCCTTTATTTCATAATATAATATAACGATAACATGTGTATTATTTTCGTTACGTAATTTTTATATAACTAACGTCACATTACTTTACTAAACGTCATAAAATTCCATATATACTTTGATATACTTTGATTATATCACCATACATCAAAAAAATATAATGATGGGATCAAATAAATTAATTTATGCATCTTTTTATCATTATTTATTATTTAATTGTATAAAAATCCAACGCCTCTAAATCTTTCGTGTTTCCCTGTTCAATTCGTGGTTATCGAAGAAAAAAAGAAAGAGATATGGGAAACAATTCTAGTATTACTTCTAATTCTTGGATTTCATTTAAAACAAGTTTAATAAAGAAATATGAAAAATATAATGACAGTAAAGTTGAAAATGACGAACATCAAAATGTATTAAAGATTTCTTTTTAGTATCTTGTTTTTTTTTAAAAAAAATAAAAAAATAAAATGGTGACAATGGTGACATTAATTTATTTTAGAAGATTACGGAAATTCGGCGTGAAAAAGAATTTCGTCAAAGCCAAATCTCTAAGAATCATTATAGAGATTATATCTTTGATCATCGAGCTCTATTGAACCGGTAACGATCCATGATCTATTCATTATTACGGTAGATACATCGATATTGATACTTTATATTGTTTCATAATATTTCACGACTATCATAAAGAGGTCAATTCGGTACCATTCACTTGGCTGTAGTACGTCCAAAAAAGAGCGACTCTTCTCTTAAAATGGTGGTCGTGAAAGTTACTCCAATCGCCGTGAAATATTATAATCGTTGGTTTATAGGAGATAAATGTGTTAATGAAGCAATTGCAATCAAATGGAACAGTGAATATGTTGAGAATGAAGCAAAGACTCTATCATGTCTTCGTCATGCAAGTTTATATTTATAATGAAATTTCATTTTAAATCAAATTATCAAATTATTCATGATCTTTTAATTAACGTCTCTACTTTTTCTTTATTTTAGCCAAATATTATTAATTCTATAGGATGGTTCATAAATAAAGACGCATTTTATTTGATTGTTGATTACCATGAAGGTGGAACTCTTGCCGATTGTATTTCACCAAATGGTAGAGATGAATATTCGACCCTTAATTTAATGATTCAAGTTTTTGACGCGGTTAAATATATCCATGATCATGGTATTGCCCATTGCGATATCAAAGTATGTTTTACTTCATAAATTTATATTATTATTATATATATATGTTTTTTAATCCATTCAAACCTTTTCCTTTATTATATAGCCTGAAAACATTTTACTTTCATCAGATCGTAAACGTTTAATCCTAGCTGATTTTGGTCATTCTCGATTAGAATGTGATGACCTTATAAAGGATCCTCAATATTTTCAGGCTATAAATGAAGACTCAAAAATTATGAAAGGAACGGTAATTATTATTTTTTTTTTTAAAAAAAAAAATGCCGTTTTTATTTTTACCTTTTTTTAAGAAACCTTCATTTGTAGGTCGGATTTTATAGTCCAGAACGTGATCCGCGTGAACACATTCCGTTCAAAGGTTTCAAAAAGGCTGATATGTATAGCCTGGGAGTAACTATTTATGTCGTGTAAGTTCTCCTTTCTATTGTCATAATCTGTTGCTTAAGATAACAAACATATCTATCGTATTCATAATTGCATGAAATCTATAGTTTGACATATCACCTACCATTTGATCCAACACAATCGATAAGGCATCAATCATTATTATTTCCTGATCATATATCATTACCAGGTACGTAGATACTTAGATATGAGTGCGTGTGAGAGTGAAATTATTAATTAAAGTTCCAGGTTTTCACTCACGCACATATCTTTTCGATTCACTATGATAACATATATACATATGTACATTAATTTACATATAAATTTTTTTGTAGCTCAACATTTTATTCAAAACTTACTTTCTATTGATCCATCACGTCGTATGAATATATATGATTGTTTTAATCATTCTTGGTTAAGGATTCATGACATCTCTGGTCGTCGTCCAAAACAATCTTTAAATGATACTAATCAATCTAAAAAAATTTATAAAAAACGTTCTAAACAAAATAATCATAATATTTTTTCTCGTAGTAAACACTTTTTTAATCAAAAACATTGTGATATCGGTTGGAAATTCGATTAATTCTATTTAATATAAAAAGGAATAACTTGTATATATATAATTTGTAAAACTTATTAGCATTTAATAAATATAGAAATTAAATTATATGATAAATCTGACACGTTGAATTTCAATCGTCCTTTATTTAAAATATTTATAAACTAGTCCAAACAAACTAATTGTCTTTTTTTTTTTTGAAAATAGGTCCTTGTAAATTTCAGAAAACTTGTTTTATGTTTTGAAAAGTTTGTAGTTTGTATACAATGTTAAAAGTGCAATTAATTAAATTATAAGATCCAGAGAACTATTTTTTGTGCGAAAAAGTTGCAACTTCTAATATACTAAATTAGCAAACATACATCATGTATACAACGTTTATAGGAAAAAAAAGAAAACATCAAATCAAAACTTATTCACCCCACTTTAAATGCGAATTTACATGGTCAATTTTCGTTCTCTTTGTTCTCTTTGTTCTCTTTGGATTTCCCTTTGTCAGATTGCTCTTTATCCGTTTTATTGGTTTCACCAACTTCCTGTAATTGTTCACGAATAATTGTATCATACCAATAAGCATAAACTTCACGGTTATATCTTCCCAAAATGCAAATTTTTCTGCTTAATTGTTCCAGTTCTTTAGCAACAGAAATTACTCCGTGCTGGGCCAAAGTTTCCTTTTTAGGAAATTGTCCCGTTTGAAGGTGTTGTTTCATGATATTTTGAATCCGGCGGGATAAGAGGGAAAACACTTTGTCGGATTGCGAAAGTGTTTTGGAAACCATCGATTTAATTAATGTTTGAGTTTCAGATGAAAGAGTTGATGGGAAATATGATATAATTTCGGCTGTTAAGTTATCAATTGTAGTATCTCCATCCATCAGAAGAACAAAGAGGGTATCCTTTAAGGTTGTAAGATCATCAGAATCGCTATTAACGTTTCCACCTGCCACATTTTTAGTAAGCATTAACAAAGCAGCCACGATAGTGATGGCCTGCCCTTCATTCTGATAATTCCAGAGCCTTTCAATATCAAGCAAAAGAGTTTCAGGGCAGTTATTTTTGTCAATTGTTGACGGTTGGAAAATGAAAGAGACAAATGATTCGTTATACACTTGATCAAATTTAATACCATGATTATGTCGATGTTGTGGCAAATGAATATTTTCTGGATTGCGCTCTGCTCTGGTACGCAAAAGGGAATTAATAGTTTGTTTAATCCATGATTTTGTCAAATCAAGTGTTAAACGTTTGGATTGTAAAGCCTGTTCAAATTTGCGACGTTCATACTCAATGGCATGCTCCTTTAAGTAAGGCCTAAAAGCCTTGACACGATAATTAGCGAGATCCAGTCTCATTTGATCTAAAATATTTAATAACTTTTGAAAGATTTCCGCAAAATCATTTAAATCCTTTAGTTTTTGAATTTCTTCATCACGAACAGGTGCGCAGATTTGAAGCATTGTATTTATAATAAAAACAATACAGTTATGTATATTATAAACACCCGCTTTTGTTTGTTGAGTAATCAAATCAATGTCAAGAACTTCATTGATAGATGAACGTAAAGAAGAATTAGGAGAAACAAGATCGAGAAGACGCTATATGATAATTGTATATTCATTTATATTATTAATATATTTAATAATCAACATCAATTGTTAATTATAAAAATTATTAAAGAACACACACCTGCTTAACGTCAGATAAAAGCTCAGGCACCCATCTCTCATACTGTCCTCGCTCAAGATCAGCTCTTACGGAATCAAAGAAAGCCTTAGTAGCGATAGCTCGCACACGTTCTTCTAATTCAGAAAGTTTTGGAGGCTTTAATTCGAAATCCGGATCAATTATGATCTCGTGAGCAAGTTGTTCATTTGTTAAACCTAAATTAACTTGGGATCCGCCTAAACTTTGGATAATATGGTGAAGATTAGCACTTGTCACTGATTGGCTGTGTGAAGCTGAAGATGTATTGGTTGAAGAGGTTGTAGAGGTTGTAGATTGAGAATTTGGATTAGCCAACTCAACGGATCCGTCTGCCGCTAAGGTTTGGGGTACGAAAGACTGTCGCGGAGGTAAATCCGAATCTTGTTCACTATGATCATTTTCTTGATCATTTTCCTGTTCATTTACAGCACCAGTTACAGAATCTGAGACGTCAACATTCTCACCACTAGCAATTGGTAATTTTGCTTTCAGCCTTCTAAGAACTCTTTCTAATTTAGCCATCGCCTCATCACCACCTAAATTACGTATTTTACGCCTAATTTCTTCTTGTTGTTCAACAATGTTCATTCTCCATTCAGTTTCTGCATTTGCTTGAGTTTTAACAGTATTCCATAATTTCTCTAGTTCCATATAATGAGTAATAAGATTATTTGCTAATTTTTCCGAATCTTTTGACTTCCAAGTATTAAAATCCTTATAATAAGCATCCCATGCTGAAAGAAAACTGAGAAGATTGTTATGAAAAATTTTATTGGAATTGTCATTATCAATTTCTGAGAACCATTGTTCAAGTTCTTGCAACATAGCCTTGGATGAGTTTAAGAGTTTCTAAAGGATAAAGTTTAGTGTATGGTAAATAAACTGTTGAATGCCCAGTTAAAAGTGATTTGAAATTTTTTTTTTTCTTGCACGATTTAAATAAATATACATACTTTTTCATGATGGCCGACATCAACAAGAATTTCCTTAGTGTGTGACACAATCATGTAAGCACTCAAAAACACTCTTGCCGGATTTTTATATTTACTAACACCTAAAGTAACGGCGGAAGACTTCCTCA